GGAATGAACATCATGTTGGAGAGCATCTAACTGTGTTCTCTAGCGTTTCTCATCCGCCTCTCCATCAGAGACAGTGTGACACAGCCCAGTCTGTTACATAAGCCTTGCGCCAAATGGCGAGCCGGCGGACAGAAACACATACAAGCGTCTTTACTTGAGGGGCGGTCAAAGTAACATCTACTTTATTTAATGCACTTTTCAAGTTCATGAACTGAAATCTTACAAAAATACGGATTTTACTTGCTCTAGGAAATGCATCATACAACGCATGAAGCAGACTGTATGAGAACGATGAGGGCTGTGTGTAGCATTTGTTTTTCTTTACAACAATCTTTGCGTTTAATTCGTCTGAGTACGCATAGGTCGGAATAATTTTTGCAGCATTTTGAAAGGGCCTCTCGACTGACTTCACTGCAGAGAACCCACCGCAATGTAACCTTCCTTGCTAATGTTTAACTCACGGGAAAATAACTCAAATAAATCAGATTCTAGCTTAACATGCGCTGTGCGTGCACACGATCACGCACATCTGAGGCAAGCGCGAGACAAGCAAACCCGCGTCCCATCCATCCATGCACTTCCAATCCAATGTAAACATTACAGCATTACAGCAACAAAACAAGGAGGGGCTCAAAGCTTTAGGGGGACAACGCATAAAAACACGCCGATACCTATGTGCGATGCATTCAAGACCGTGAAAACCCACAGAAATCCACGCCATCAACGCGAAGACTCAGGCGCGTGCGTTACCTGATTGTTAATTTGTGAGCATCTCAATCGCGGACATTTCTCCTTGTAATCCTGCACATCTCTGCCATATTCGGTGCGGCATGATCCTCCGCTGTTCCTGTATATGGAACATTCCGTGGATTTCACCACTGAATTGGGAAAAAGGTACAAACTGGAGCTCGAGGAATAAAGGCAGAATATGGCATTACTCTTCGCATCTCGCGCAAAACTACCACTCTCTGAGTGCATTAGACTTCGGAGAAATCAATGCACTCGGGTGAACCCAGCATCACCCGCCGCCTGTTTGCGTGCTTTTGTGACATACCCCTATGAGGGGCATTTAGAGGCCGCTGATTTATGGCAAGCCGTTTGAACATTATTCCATAGACATAGTGTCTGTTTTATGATACTAGTGTGCTGCTTTGTGGAAACTTGTTTCCGCCATGTGATGAAAAAAAAGAAAGAAAAGAAAGTTACGAGATATAAATTTGCAATTCTGAGAAAATAAACTCAGAATAAAAATTAAAAAAATCAGAATCTGCAAATCTGATTTTTTTTCTCAGAACTGCGAGTTTATATCTGAGAAAATTCTAAGATAAAAAAATGAGATTTGCAAGAAAAAAAGTACAAAAAAAAAAAAGTCAGAAAGGTTGCAGTTACCTTTAATTTATTTACCTGGTGGCGGGGACTGGCTTCCATAGCTACTTATAATTGTTAATTGTTAGTAAATAACAATTATCCAACTAGTATCTTTTTCAGTGTCAATAACTGTCTATTAAACACTAGTAGGCGTACTTACTGATTGGATACTAGTATTTCAGTACAAATTACTATTAATTAGCCACTATTATACAGTATTGACACATATCTATTGAATTAGTCACTATTACTTATTCATTGGCTACAATAAGTTGTACCTTTGCTACCAGTCACGTCCATAGTGATAAATACAATCAAACAAATCACACAATTTGCAGTTAAGTCCTACTGAAATAGGAGCTAGTTTTTATTCTTTAGTTACTTGTAACAGTTGAAATTTAGCACAGCCTTTTTTATTAGACACTAGTTTGTATTCCAGTTGTTAACTAGTAGCCTATGAATTTGTAATGAACTATAAAGTATCCATTCTGACTTGTCAGAGGTATGAGGCAATTAAACAATTGGAGTAGATGCTATTTCAATTAAGTACTAGTAAAACTGAAATAGATCACGATTCAAACTGTTAATATTAATTAAGAAGTGCTAGTAGCCTAGTCTTCTTTCCTCTACATTGAATCTCTCTTCTGTCTGGAAGATTTTATGATTTTATGTGTGATTTTACTTTCATATAGGTACACTGAATTAACAATTAGTGGATGTGATATTATGATATTCAACCATGCCAGGTAAAACAGATACCGAAAAAAGATACTAGTTATGGAATGAATAGGAATGAATGTTAATATGGCTTGCCACAGATGTCTTGCTCTACCGTAAACACTGGACGAGTTTGTCCTCATGAGGTCCCAATGTCAAGTCTTGGTTAACAATTATCACAGGGCTACGATTAGGTCATTGCATAGACTGTCCTATTATCCTGTTCTCCGCATTGAATAAAAACTAATGAAAGCTTAAATCCTCGTCGGGCATCCTCAATGACAAAAATAGATAGCTGACTTGATTATTTTTTACTTCATAATGATGATGATGACATTACACCTGTGCACTGTTTTATTATTAAAGCTGTTTGCATCATGAGGGAGGCATATGTCATTATCAATTAGATTTCTTGCATCCCTTATGGAAAAACTAATCAGGGTCACATTACGTAAATTCTAGTCTATGATTAGAATGTGCTTTGTCTCCCCCTACTGGCTAGACGAGGAACTAGGCTATAGACAGGAAAGTGGCCTGGAAGGGCCAAGTTTGCCCACCCCTGCACTAGATGATGCACCATCACGCAGTTCTCACATTGTTTCTTAATAAAAAAAGATGTTACAATGTTACTTAACGTGTGTTAGTGAGGGTCTTTCTCTTTTATAAATCATATGAAAACACCATCTAGAATGTATATGTTCACTCAGGTCTAACAAGTTGTTTGGGCCTGGCATACTGTATGTTTGTTTGCTTATTTTGTGCATATTCTTAACCAGGCCCATACTTTTCATAACCTTTGGTTAGCGAGATGGCTTCACTGTTGACAGCAATAAATGATTAGCAAAACACTTTGGTGTTATGGAAATCTATTAGATCTATTAATGATTAACTAGACAGTGGTTATATGTATAATAATCAAACCAAAACTTATTGCAGTCTTATTGTTATTACAGTGAATGTTATGGCATGACGCCTAACTTAAATGTTATTTCATTTCCCAGCATAATTACACAACGTGCCTATCACTAAAGACATGTCGGTTATGATCATTGGGCCTCAGCCATTTCACATCATTGTGCTAAATCATAAACCAAAACCTAAGAAGATAATATTAGGGTGGCATGTTAGTGTACTGAAATACATGTGGCACGAACAGGTCACGTTTTACAATATAAGGTGCAGTAAACAGATTTATGATAGATGTATCTATTTTTATGTACTATTCTAACACACCCAAATTCACATTGATACCTGAACCACAGATCCCCACAGAATATATAAATGTATTTGTTTGTTCATTTCTCCATATACACAATTGTCATATTTAGATATATTATCTATTCTTTTCTAATATTATTTCATTCTGTTGTGACTTTATACAATGTCAAAGGCTGCACAAATATGTACATGTACATACAGTATATTGTTATTTAGTATATATTTAATTTTAATACTTAATAATACATGCTTTCAGTTTATTTGTATTTTATATTTATTGTATAAGTCTGTATCATTGTATATAATATTATACAAGTCTATTTATATACATTTCTAGTATACATTTTTCTTATATTATAAATTGTATAATTCAAAATAGAGCATATGTTGCTGCTAATAAAAATGTATTTTAGTATTAGTTGATCTTCAGGCCTCTAGTGGCTTTAGTTTGATCCCTCATTCCACAGCATGTCCAGCATGGCAAACACCAAACAAGTAGAGACAAACACAAGCTCTTCTGTCAGCCTCAGGAGAAAGTTCCTCCATTGTTTTTGTTTGATAGCGGAAAGGATTCTCCCCAGGGGAGAGAAATCTTTTGTCCGTCTCTCGTTAATTACGAAGGCCCACAAGGGAAGTGGGCTCATTGAGAGTAGAGCCGAGCAGAGGGTAGGTAGGTTCTTGAATAGCTAATATGCTCATTTGCTTCCTGGAATCTCTCAGATTACATTATGTCCAGCTCACTAGAGTGATGCCGAGAAATAGCCAGAAAATAAAATCTGGATCTAAAGATGCATGGTTCTATAGTTGGCTTAGAAAGTAGATGCCCTGCTAAACACTTCACTAGAAATGGTGCTACGCCGTACCTTTGTCCTGTGGTTTCTTATAGCTTTTATGGTCTCATCTAATCAGGTAAAATAAATCTTTTCATTTTTATTTTTTCAACCATAATTCTTATATATATTACATAGGAATAACATAGGAAAACATTTCTTCTCTCCATGCTATTTCTCTGTGCTCTGTTCCAGTCTCCATTAATCTTGTATCTTTTGAGTTTGCTCAGGAGTTGCTGAATTAATGTGTGAATGGGCCGGATTATTCTGGACATAATGTGTTGTGACATTTGTTTGCCTACCCACACTTGTTGTTCTTCTAAACCATTCTCTGAACACTGTTTTAGGATCTGATTCTGTGGTGCCACTAAGCAGCTTTGTCATCAGGGTGAGAAGACGCAGTCTTTTCTCTGCTACAATGTTAATGAATAACGTTTACAACTGAAGGACAGCAATAGCCACTGATGCACTAGCCAGAGGTCTTGTATATTATATATTGTTCCCTCATTTGAAGAACGCCACTTGTTGGAATAGTACTAAGAGCAGATTGGCCACGGTAAGTCTTCATCAGCCTTATATCATTTTCAATTTATGTCTATTTGCATTCAGTGACGGCATGCAGATCAAGAGCTTATAAAGCTTTACTTTTTAGAGATTATTCTTTTGTGAATGATGGGTATGTAAATTTTGATTGTAGACTATGGTATCTTGACAAATCTAAGCAGGGGACTTTATAGCAAAAGTCTCAGTTTAATCTCATTGATGTCTAGGAGAAATATTTGAGATATTAAAAAGATATAAGCTGTGATTTTACTTAGCTACGGGTATATTGGATGAAAAATTAGTGCACATTTATGATATTCAACCATTTCAGGGATTGAAATGTAAGAAGTTCTGAAAAAAAATTAAATAATATATATATAAATATATGTAATAAATG